CTATTGATCATCACATCCAGTGAAAGTCTCACTTGTAATTGCTGTTCAGAGTAGAGATCCTCTGTGTTTGCATGAATCCTCCAGTCTCATTTTGATACAGGGAAAGCTAATGGTGAACAACTCATAGCAAATCCCACGTCCCAGCCTGGAGTGAAAATGCAGCTACGTGAAGTACTGGAAATGATGGGCTTGCTGAAGCAAAGTTTCTTAGAGCAGAGAAATAACAGAGTAAGAAAAATGCAACACTTCAAATAGAGAGGCAGATATATGGCCTATTCAAGTTCAAAAGCAGCATCTGTGAAGCCTGACCAAAATTTCAAGCCATATTTTATAGTATGAGGGTTGAAAACACCACAGAGATGCTTATAAAACATCGCTCCTCTCTTTCCAACTTGCACTTCCAGTAAAAAGCTGAATTTTTTAGTCCTCCCAGTAAAATTATTGTTGAATGTGGAGGCAATTACACATTTCTATTTCCAAAAGTTGTTGTCTCTGTCTGGCTACAGACACCCACAGAACTGTATGTTTCTGTGCCTGCTACTGTCTTATCACACTGTCTCTGCAAATGTCACTATCCTCTGCTCCCTATTCAGCTGTTCTTGCAGTCTTTGTCTCCAGCAACAGGGGTTAAAAGAAGTCATAGGACGTAGGATAACTGAATATTACGTAAGAGTGTCAGAAGCTACCATGTCAAGGAGCAGAACAGGGTCAAGGTATAAAAATGCAAAATCACTGTTCACAGCTAAGAAAAGGCAGGTACTTTTAAATAGCATCAGTAGCCAGTCATAAGACAACTGGCTACAAAATTAGGGGAGTCTGTGCCAGTACAGAGCTCAGCTCCAGATAGTTTACATGAAATGCTGTCAGATTTCAGAGGCAGACAGCTCTGTTGTAGCTATGCATTAATTCAAGCTTCTCAAAGTTAACTTATTTTCTCCACAGCAATGTTATTGCAGCTGAGGTACAAACAGGATAACCAATGTGTATCAACATCTGTATACCAAGTGGATAATTTTTGAAGTTGTACATGGTATATGATTTTCATAATCACACTTCTCCATCATTATCAATTAATTGAATATAATTCTAAAAGCGGGAAAATAATGGAGGTTTCTGTTGATGCTGGTGTCAAAATAATGGAGTATCTGTTGAGCAGTTCTGATGCATTTGTATGTTCTAATTCTGGCTTGACGTAGACACAGAGTTGGATGGATTTTATGACTACTAGACCATAGAAATTAGTGTGAAGCATTTGTTCAAGTGCTGTACTGAATCAGAGCCATGAAAGTGGACATCTGGCTTTAAGTGGATACTTTAAGGCTTTGCTGAAAAGCAGCAGGCTTTTATAAGTGCTTTGTTGAATGGCTTTAATTTATAAACCTCATTTTAAAAAAAAAAAAAGGTTAATGTAATATACCATTGTTGGTTTTCTGAATCAAGACATTTCTTTGGCTGAAATCTGGAACAATGAAGAAAATCTAAGATAAATCAAGGTTCTGCCATACTTGAAGCAGTAATAGTCCAGAAGCATACTTGAAAGATAACATCTGTTTCAGCAGGAGATACCAATTCATTTTGATGAGTAACAGATTGGAAAAATGCCATCTAAATAAAAGATGGGTTCTTACAAGAACAGCACATACACAAACACCAACACAAACACTGAGGCTGCAAACTCCCCATTAAACTAACCCCAAAATGAATGGAAGAGGGGTGGGAACAGGCACCCAGTGGCTTCTCAGAAACTGCATTTCTAGCTTCTCCATTTCTGCAAGCAGAGCTATCACAGAGGCTGTGCACTAGCCACACCTAGTTTCAGCCTTGGAAACAGGCACATAAGCCTCACAATGACTGTGTGTGTGCCAGAGGCTCTGCCTTTGACATTTATTACACAAACTGTCATTGATTTTGGTTGGTGACAACATAGTAGCTCTCAGCATTTCCCAGCACCTTCTTAGTTGCCATGAGATAAAAACGAAAATGGCAATGGGTAGGTCTTTATGATCATTCCTAATTTTACCATCTCAGCCCAGGTAATCTGAGAAGCACCACTGATTACTGTAACAGTCCCTCGGGACATGAAAGCTTTCCACTGCCTTCTACAGAGGCATTTGAAAGCACCCTGAAGGTCACAGTATTGGCCTTTGTAAACTACTTGTGCTCAGATGTTGACATCTCTTAAGTAGGCCATATTCAACTATCAGAGAGAGCTGGAACTAGGTACCTCTTGGCCTTGCCACTGATCTGAGGCAGGAGGGAGGCATACAGATTAGAAGAGGGGTCCCTGAAGCAAGACCAGATGGGAGCAGAAGGGTCCCCTGGAAGCCTAGAGCACTGCGTTCAAGGTCCTGGTCCACCACTGCTGTGTGCGTGATACTGCAAAACCATCTCCCTTGTTCCTCAACTTCCACCTGAAAAATCAGTGTCATCCTAAATATCATTCTTTCCAGTCAGTAAGTAAAGAAATTAACGGTTGTGAGCTGCTCCAACACTACAGTGAATAGGTGACACATACTGGAGATGAGTAGGACAAGTCTCAAAATAGTCACTCACAGCTCTTACATTGCCTCTGTCATGAGGAATCTTGTGCCCTTGTGGTGGCAGCTACCTTTTATTCAGGTTTAACATGAACTCCATTACATAGTCATTCTGGCTTCCCACTGCCATTGCTCTACCCTTTGAATCTTTAATGAAAGGAACTATCTACCAACATCACCAAGTGTAGTACAAGCATGTGGTTCAACTCCTCACTCCTGGTGGATACACAGAGAACAAGCAAACTTCTTTTTAGCAAATTTCTGGGCGGCAAGAGGCCACATCTGCCATCAGAATGTCACCACACACAACGTGCATTGTGTGCAGTCAGTGCCTACATACAGAGCACAGCACATTAACCTGCAAAAGCTTTTCAAAAATAGTCTGCTATGCGGTGGAGGAGTGACAGTTTCTAGTGATTCCTTTCATTCCCCTGCAGTGAAGGTCCTACTCCTTAACCAGGTCCTCCCCTAACCAGAATATGCTGATAGAATGCTAAACCCATGCTGATGAATTTAACAAGTTTCTAAAGGTAAGTGTTATTAAGGCAGAACATTCTTATTTATTCAGAGACATATTTGCACACATATTTAGAGGAAGAAATTTTGATAACTCTAAATAATAACCTTTCAGATGTAAAAAAATGCTAGGGACTTGTCATTTTCAGAAGCATGAATCCTCCCAAACATATCTACTTCCATTACCTGTATCCCAGGATTATCTGTTACTGTCTCCAACATAAAATGGTTTCATTACCAATCTCACTGAAAGAACACATTCACAGCAAAAATATGATCCCAGTGTGATCAATTTTCTTAGCAGAAGTCAGTACTCTTTATGGCTTTGGGAGTAACAGACTGGGGAAAGTGACCCCAGTAATTTAGAGCAGAAAGACAATAGATGCCTGAACTGATAACTGTAGTAGGAGATAATAAAGCGTTTCTTTTCGTTGGAAGCCATTAATAGCAATCATTTCAATGTCTGAAACCTTTGTTCATCCTTGCTGTATTTTATGTATATGTATTTAGAAGTAGGGTATTTTTAAAGGCATTTCAGAAGTCTAGCGACCATAAATAACGTCACTGTACTTTTAGGATAAAGAAATCCTGGGGCAATGCCCAACAAGTTAACAAATTCATGTAGTGAGACAAGAACAAGAATCACTGTCACAAAAGCACAGCTCTGTGCCTAGCTGTCATTTACTGCAGTCTTTTAAACTATTACTCACTGCTAAATATATATTTAATATCCAAGAACATGCATGTGAGCACAGTGATATTACAGGTGTGCAGACCTATAGAAGTAGTCTTTCTTGTGGTGCAGAACACACCAGGCTTTGGATAGATTTCTTCTCTGTAAAATGAGACAGAAAACCAGTACTTTACTGCAATGTAGAAGTGTACCAGAGTCCCCACAGCTCCATGTATGTTGTGCTGTCTGTAATCCAGACTGAAAATCCCCATTCCAAATAATTATTTCATTTTCACTTTTGCATTTGTTTGCCTGAGACAAAACTGAGAGGGCTAGTAGCTAGAAGACTTCCCCACCACTTCTGGGTCAGAGGGGAAGTCCTCTGCCACACAAGTCTGGGAAGACTACAGTTAGCATGTTACCCAGGACAATTATTCCTATTAGTAATCTTTCTTCTCGTGACAGGCCAGCACAGGATAGGACCTCCATATGTTAACGTACATTTAACTCTTCCTGGATTTGATTCAATCCAAGAATATTTCTGCAATGGTTATCTGGGCACCTGTAGGGCAAAGCTAGGTAAAATAATTTTCCTACTCCCACATAGCACAGTATTTGCCTCCTTATTCTAGGCGCACTACAGGCCAAGCATTTAGTTTCCACAAGGTGCAATATATCTGAATAAATGAAATGACAGACATTCTTGAATTCTTGAAAAACATTACACTGCAACAAACGACGATAAATAAGATTAACCAAAGCATTCCAGCATCTCGATAGCCCTAAAGCCAGTGGGATTTAGGCATGTGTTCAGGCTGAAGCACTGATCCATGTCAGGAGAATGCTCTGTCTTTGTTAAACTAGAATTGCCAGAAGGATCACAAAGTAAGATGTTGAAACACATTTGCAGCCAACCCCTGTCCTCAGAAGTGCTCTCAGCAACCTGCAGCTCCCATAGATACCAGCATATGCTCCTCAACTCTTCCAGAAAACACTACACATACACCAGTTTCTCTTGTTGTTTTGACTAAAGGGAATCATACAGAAGAGCAATGTTTTTTGGATGAAAGCCAGAGAAAGGTCAAAATGCTAACAACTACGTGAAATTTATAATTTTATGCTGTGCTGAACCTCCTGGCTGCTCTTACAGCACTTCTCTTTTGCAAAAACTGTTTACTATCAAATGTGCATTCTTTTTTTCAAAAATATTTGCATTTATAGGAGACATACAGAAAAGAATTTAAAGAAATAAAGGATCTGTTAAGCCCCAAATATGTATCTTATTTTGCAGATTTATTTAATGGTCTCTTGTCAAACTTTAAACATAATGCTAGAAGCTGCAGTTTATTCATGCAATGCAGCTATACAAGCACTGTAAGTGACTGATCTCAAACCACTATCAAAACACTGAAGCACTGTGAGATTACTCAGTAAAAATAATTACAATATTTCCATTAAAAATAGCATTGTACAAATCTTTATTTTTTTAATCACATCAACTTTGCTCTCCAGCCTCAAATAAAATATACATAGGTAATTCTGATGAGCACACGTTTTAGTTTACATCCGGAAAACCCCGAATTCTGTCCTCTTTGTAGGTGCATTTAATGCTGCGCTGAGACTGAGGCCCAAAACCAGTCTTGTGTCAGCTGGATCAATAATTCCATCATCCCATAATCTAGGGGGGGAAAAAAAAAATCAAATAATAATAATTAAAGGAAATTAACATACACGGTAGATTTTCAAGCACATGAAACTGGAAATACGTATACTAAAGAAAGTGGACTAAGGAGCTAAATTATATTTGAAGTCACGGAGTTAAATCACCTTAACCATCAATGCAACAGACTGGTGGGCATTACTTTGTTCTAGAAGACAAATTCCACAAAGTATAAATTTTAGATAAATGAAAAACATCAGGTTTATATATTTCAAATGAGATTCTTCATACTTACTTTTAGTATGAAGTCATCACTGTAGAGAAAACAGACCCTCTTTGTTTTTAATATTCACATGGAAAGTGACCTTTTGTCAATGACCTATTTTATTACAAATGCTTATATTTTAAGGACTATGCCACATCATTATATATGTTATTCAGGTTAGTTCAGCTGCCAGATGAGGATTATACAAGTGTTTATTCTTTCATCATTAAAAGAGCCAGAGGAAATTTCAAGTTATTTCCAGTAATGGTATTTATTTTTTCTGAAGTCCACTTCTAAACAACTGTAAGTCAATACCCTTCTTAACCCAGCCTGAAGGCAATTAAGAGTGAGCAATTACCAAATTCCCCCGTCCCCAAAATCACAAATACTTATTACTAGTCTCTTTGATATTATCCACAAATTAAAGTACTTGTGGCATCAGTTCTCAATGACATCCTACCCAAAATAAAATCCACATCAAAACCCCAGCAGGCCACAAAACTTTACATCTACGTACTACCTACCCAGTAAGATATTTAAACATGATACCACACTGATTATTGCAACCCAGTCTCACTTAAATAAGCATGCATTTTAATCAGGGTCTACAAAACATATGCACAGTAACTTTGGTTAAGACAGTAATGCTTCTCCTTCATCCTATTTGTCCTAGAGACTTATTTTGCAATCCTTTTGAACTTCAGTGTTGGCTAATTTTTAATTATTTGTTATGAATAGAGAGCTAAGACTGACTCTATCAAGAGAAAGCACAGCCATTCCTTTCTAACTGAAGCTTCCAGCTGCAAATTTCCAATTGTTTGATGATTAATTGAAAAAAATCTACTAGACAGGAAACAATGTATTCTGCACTCTCAATACTAAATGTGCTAACCTCACCCCCAAAAGAAAGAGGACTGCAAACTGTACATAAATAAATGCTGGTAAGCTCAAGGCAGCAGCAGACACTTCCAAGTGTTTTCCATCTTTGTATTGCCATTCCTTGTAAAAGCAATATTCATCAAACCAGGTAAAAAAATATTAAGAGACTGACAATGTATGTTTTTTATTTTACAATAAGTGCGTGTATCTATCCTAGGATGCACAAGTGGAATTGCAAAGAAGGACACCTGTAACAAGATGAAGCAAAAGGGTCCAGACTCATCTTAGAAGCCTGTTCTCCAACTAGCAGAGAGAGAATAAAAAGATATTCAACTCAGAAAGAACCTTCTACTACAAATACATTTTATCATGGTGCAGCTCCCAAAGTAGAAAAGACTTACCCTAAATGTGGCACAAGAGCAAAGCTGAAGCACAAAAGGAAAAAGGGATTTGGAGAAGGAAAGACTCTGCTGTTAATTTGGCAAATTTATGCTGCTTCTTTTTTGGGACTGAAAACAAAAGCTTGATTAAATAAATTTTACAACACAGTAGCTGTGGTACTCTCTGACCTGGCCAACAGGTCTCAGTCAGCATAAAAAGAAGTTTGTTAAAAAAAAACAACAAATAACTTCCTTCAAAGTTAAAAAAAAAAAGAAAAGCTATAAATCCAAACTACAAATATAAGGAAACCATAGCTCTATCTAAACTGTTCTCATTTTAGGATTCTCAGTGAGTTATCTCCCTTCTAGGAGGCTAGTAAGCCACGCATTGTAATGCTCAAACTTTTGAATATTCCATCTGCACCTAAGTGGTACTAACCAGCAAATTCTGTTGCAGAAGACACACAAGAATTATCTATATTATATTCTGGATAAAGAGTATGGTATTGCTGTATGGCTTCTGTGAATAATTCATTTCTTAATTGTAGCTTTAAATTGTAAATAATAAGTCATTATTTTGGCATATTAAACAAATATTCAATTGAAAAAAAGACTCAGAGTAAGTGCTTCTTACTATACAGCAAAAACAATTAGAAGCCTTTTTGTTCAAAATGACCAAACTTGGTTTTGCTGAGACATACTTAAGAGCTGTTTGAATTCTCTTGTCTTTCCCTAAGACAGTGGTTTTACCTGTTCATATAATCTAACATGACAGAATGGCCAAGTTAAGGTTATCTCCTATACTTTCAACATCCTGAAGCATGCATCATCAAAGTTTAATGCATATGCTTTTCTTTCCTTCTTGTATTTTAGATCTTGATTTAGTTTTGATGAATACAGTCGGATTAATCACCAAACAGATGGAGAAAATCCCTATTAATAGTGAAAAGCAAAGTAGTTTTGTGAGGTCAAATCAAAAACAGCCCCTTTGTTTTCTTGGGACTGTGAACAAAAAACAACTGTAAGAACAATCTCAAATACAGTAACTTCTGTTTTTAAGCAAATTTGGGGGTTTTTGGCTGTTACACACTTGTTTGCTCTGCATATCAACTTTTAAAAATGAACACTTGCAATTAAATTTTTATTTATGAAACACACTGAAAATGAATGAAGGAATTCATACTTCTTAAAAGTGTTTAATAAATCTGCAAAGGGCCTGGGAAGGGCAGGGATGAAATGAATCAGAAAGAATCACCAACTTAATGCAGTACCTTCCAAGCTGCAACTTTATAGTGACTACTACTGTAATAAACACTGAAGCACATTTTAATGGAACATTTGGTTTTTTGTAAGACCAAATAAAATTAACTTATATTAACAACCACGAAGATTTTATGTTGCATGGAAGTCAAGCTGCTTACATACAGTCACCCCTGTCTTCTGCTTCTCTTTTGTTTAAAGAAAGCTAAATTCTCTACTGAGATGTAACATTAATAATTAAACTATCTATTAAAATCCCATTGCTAGAACATGAGTCACAACTACACATAAAGTATTTATAACCAAGACACTGTGAGTAAAAGAAATGAAGCCCCCAAAAGTAAAACGCTCATGTAATTTGTTAAGATGCAAACCGCTGAAATCCTTTTAGAAGCCTGTAAGCAGATTAATGTAACTCATTAAAAAGGGTGCTGCCTAATGACTCCTGTTAATTACGACTGCTCACTGTGAAAGGTTCTAATCAAATAATTGATTAAATTTTGATTAGAAAATACAACTTCAGGGAATAGTACTGACATCCTGTATGTATAAACAAGTTATAATTCATAAGCAAAATTATATAAGCAGAGTATATAGCAAAATTTGCTTGTATTTGAGATCATTAGGGCTTTTTCCTTCCCTCTCATTCTTATTGCTAAAAGCTTGATTCAAAGCCTAGTGAAGTCAACGGGAAGGGTCACATCAATCTCAATGGACATTAAGGGTGAGGTATACTGATCCCCATATCTTAGCAACAGGACACTGTGAGGGAGCCTCCAAACTGGCTGCACCTGAGCAGCTACACCTGTGCATCAGTCTTTTTGCTTATCTATTGTTCTTTCGGTAATGCAAAGCTGTTTATTGCAGTTTTCTTGTTTGTCCTTCTGGTGGAGGGATCTAGTTAGCATTGGACAAAATCAAGGCTGTGCAGATTCAATTTCAATACAGCACCCTGACATCTGGTTGACGGTCAACTGTTTTTTTTACCATCCTTGGGACCAGACAGAAAGCATCCTTGAGAGCAAAGGAAACAGATTAGTTCTCCCTGACCTATGGTGAATGTTCATCAAGAAGCAGCTGCAGATTGTTGGCTGACAAACAGGTTGGCTCCACAGTACAAGGTGGCTAAATCCCTCCCTCAGGTAACTACTTGCTGTAAAAACTGTAATCCTACTTCATCTCATCATTTATGACTGGGTAGCCTACTTCACAGTAATGAAAACTTTTGGTCTGAGATCTTGCTTAGGAATTAATAATAAGTAAAAGAAAGAAGGCACACATGTGGCAATTTTGTTAGGAAAGCATGAAACTAGGGCAGAAAACACAAGCATATCTACTGATACACTGAATTATCTCCACAAGACAGCAGAGAGCAATTAAGAGCTCCTAGACAATGCAGACTGTACCTTCAGGGACTGAAGAGAGAGAGAAAACATCCTGGACTGTCTTGACCTGAGCCAGTCACACACTGTTCTCACAAGCACCACTCAGTGAAAAGGGGCATTTCATTTTCATTGCTTTTAGCCAGATGAATCTCAGTGGGATTCAGCTCAGACATTTGACTTCATGTCTCAGCTGGGCTTATTAGCTTGAGTGCAGCATCACACTAACCCAACTACATGCAACTCAGACTCATGCTGGTTCTCAGCCGGCTCCCATCTATGCATGTTAAGTTTCCCTTCCAAGCTACAGGCAGACAGGCACAGTAAGAAGTAGGTAACTACTCCGCTTTTTTAAATGAAGGACAGGATGCCTAACATTAAGAGCACTTCCTGACCCCTTGGCTAGGCAAACAGGATATTTACTGAAGTGCCTTCTGGATTTGAAACCTCAATGCCAGATATTCTGGAAACAAACTGGCAAAAGTTGCTAGTGGAGAGCACAAAACTGGAGTTAAATACTCAAATTTCATGTCTAAAAATCACTAGACATTATTAAAAATTTAGAATCTGACTTTTAAAGATTCTGACAATCTTGTATGTACAACTACTTCCTTGCAGATTAGTAGCTTACTGTTGTAAATGCTGACAATGGTCTGTTGGTTTCTGGGAGAGGACAAGTTTTTATATTGCTAATATACTGAATGTATTGAATGTCAAATAAATCAAATTATTTTCAATCATGAGTACAAAGAGGCTATGACTGTGTTTCCAGTGAACATATGAAAAAAAGCAAATGTAAGAAAAAAAATAAATTACACCATTCATCTTCCCCTCCATGGTAGGGATTAATTTTAAATACAGTTTAACTCATTTTTTAAATGTTATTGTATCAGTGGAAAATTCTCCTTAAAATCCAGTTATAAAAGATGATAATATGTGTTTTATTTTTTCCTTCTTGCCTCAAGGCACAAGGTTCTGTGACACAGGTACTAGGCTTGATCTTTAAGTGCTTCTAAAAGATAGCACAAAAGTTTTTAACAGCTGACAACATCTCTCAATTTAGGGAAAACGCTATGAAATTTAAATCAACTAAATAAATGTAAAAAAAAAAATCAAAACCAGTGTGTTACCAGAAAGTCCATGTTAATAAGAATTCAGGTTTTCACAAAAGTATTCTCATTGGTTTTATGTAAAAACTCCAATGAACTGTAACTTAGTAGCAGTGGGGGGTTGTACACATGCATAAAACCTTAAGAAGTTGAGCATATCTATGACTCTCCAACACTACCACATAGGCTTCTGGCAGAAGCAGAGACCAAAAAGTAATGAGACTAAACCCTCGCTAAATCCATGACCCACACACTATATGACTGCACCACTAGATGACACTACAAACCTTGTGTTACATATCCTACTGAGAGTACTTATTCCATCACAGCACTTGTCAGGGCAAAATGGCAAGAGCTTCCATTAGATAAAGGCACTCATTTAACTAAACATTTAAATGAGTATGAATCCCCCGGGTGTGATTATTTCAGTTAAGATCATTTCACTGTCCCACAGAAAACAGTGTAAAAGCTACCATTACTTTTATATCTTCCTTCAGATCATGAGAAACAATTCATAAAGGAGCTCACTGATGCTATGCTGCCGCTGTTGCTGCTGTATCACATTTGTCATACATCAGATTAAGCAGGTATCAAGTTAGATAAAAGCCCCCAAACTCCTTCTCTTATTGACATCCGTATGCCATTAACAATCTTGCACCCACTTGTTCACATAATTTCTGCTCATGATGTCCACATCAAAATTTATTATAAACAAGCCACTGTGTACTCAGTTTGTTTCCAGACTTCCCAGCTTCCAGATAAGAAAACCATCAGTAATTTTAATTCAGCTATACAAAAGCATACATACATCAGACTCCACAGTTGTGTGAGACTAATATTCTTTCTGCAAAATGAGAAGCCATAGAGGCACAGTAAAGCCTCTACGTTATTATATGCTACCCTCTACCATCATTAGCAGCTGAGAGTCTGTGGAGTATTAGCTTTGGATACCACAAGCAGAAAAATGTTCAGACAGGATGAAACTCTTGCAGAGTAACAATGAGAGGCCAAGAAAGCCTCCAAGCTATAGTTTCCAGAGGTAACACTGCAGGATGCCACCTTGCTTCATTAGTCTAACTAATCCTGGGCATTTACTAATATTCCATTAACCTGAGCACAAAATGCTGCAAAAGACTTCTCAACAAACATAAATAAGCTGTACCCATCAGCTAATGGTCTATTCAAATTGCTATGACCCAATACAGTCACCTACCAAGATCATGACTTGAGATTTGCAAATGGCTTCAGGTGTTCCTGAAACAACTTCTTTACCACTGGCCTCGTCTACTTGCAGAATCCTACTAAAATGAATCCTTCCTAACACACATGCGCCTAGTCACTACTGTTCAATGGGCAGAAAGGTGACCAGATACTACACTGGGGAGAACGGTATAAAACTTATCCAGAATAAAATACACATAATATAAACTCCATGCCACCATATCATTACTTACAGAACCAGCAGAATAATTCCTGTAAGAGCAAGCCTTCTTCTGAAACAATACATACTACAGTCTCAGAGACAAGAGAGACAAAACTTTTAATTGAAGCTTGTTGCATTGTACTTGAGAACATCAAACACAATCTTTGTTCCAGATTGCTCTGTTCTGCTGTTCTTGAACAGCAAGATTTAGACGCTATTTTTATGCCACGTGATTACAGTTAAATTTTGGAGAAGTCATTTATACGTTACCTTGCACTGGAATAATAAGGGTTTCCTTCCTCCTCAAATCTCCTAATGATTGGCTCCTTCAAAGCTGCTTCATCTGCCTCAGATAACTAAAAACAGGCAAATAAACAAACACTGATAGATGTTCTTTAATATTTTCTTTCACAATGACAGCAGAGCTTTATATGTAGCATTAAACTTGAAGAAACTGCCTAATTCATCTCCCCAAAGTTTCTTTCCCCTTTTTTACACACAATTAACAATTTAGCATATTCGACAATGAAAGTAAAATACTACTTTTCAAAATGGTGGGGGGTGGGAAAAGGACAGTAAAAATATACTTAACTGAGTATAAGAATAATTGGGGATTAGCATCTGAAAAATTATTGAAGTTACTGTACTGAATATAAATACCATGCTGAGTTGCCTTTGGCAAGATTTTTTAATAAAACAAGTCTATGATATTCTAACACTGCCTTTTTCCATGGTCCAAAGTGGTTACCACTGTAATTCAGAAAATTTCCAAGTTTCTAACACATTTTACTGACATTAACTACAATTACTTTTCTCAAACTTCTTTCTGGGTATCAATGTGACCATTTTAGAGATCTGGGAAATTAAGACAGAGATAGATCAGGGTCAATATATTCTACCCACAAAAAGCCCAAGTAAAGTGTAGAAAAAAGAACTGTTGAGATAACATATACATACTGCTTCATAATTCCGAATAACTACTCATGTTAAATACAAGCAATTTTAAGACATCACAATAAAATTACTTCTTATGGGATCAAGGCACCAGTATAAGCATAAACCATGTAATTTAAAAAAAACACAGCAGAAGAGTGTACAGAAAAACTACAAAGATTATTAAACAAAATAGTACTAATTTTCAATTAAAATGTTGAAATGAGTCAAAAACTTTTCCAAACTTCTACAGACTTCTGCTGTTTCATAATTTTCATAAAGTTTCATAATTCTCAGTCACTGAATAATCTGAAGATCAGATTTCTATAAAACTGATTACTTCAAAAATAATTGGAAAGTTACTTTATTCCTACATATTCCTCCTCATACTTCCAAACCAGGGAGGATTCCTGGCTGCTCATCTTGGGCAGAACTAATAATCTTGTGCACAAAGTATAAAAAGATGATGGTATGAGAAATAATACTCTTTTTGAACAACGACAAGAAATGTCATAAATTATTTTCACATTTAGAAGATGTAAACAGTAACATTTCACAAATGCTTCGTGTTTGTCAATGCACTGGGTGGGACTAGGAGAATGATAGTTACTGGTGTCTCAATCTAACATCCTTTCCTAGCTCATAAAGTGAGCAACTCCAGTGAAGGAGAAAAAGATAATGACATTACTGCAAATGAAAGAAGAAAGCTGTACCTGTTTTCCCTCCCTTGCCTTTCGGTCCTTAGCTATTGTAGCTAGAACAGTTGCAGCTTGTTCTCCTCCCATCACCGATATGCGAGCATTTGGCCACACATAAAGAAATCTTGGACTGAAAAGATGTATTAAAAATTAAAATAAGACATTGCCTTATTTCCAAATAAAGAACTAATTCTTACTTAGGTAAGAATTCATTTTTGTGCATGACAATCTTACAGTGTATTCATTTTTAAAGAATGCAAATTCATGTGCTTCAATGCTTGCAGCTTTATGCTTGAAAATGTGAAAACTCTGCTCATTTCCTATATTCAAGCACCTTAAACATTTATTTCTTTTTTTCTTGAATCTCTTCATTTTACACCCACCCTCACCCACCCCCCAGAATTTTTCTCTTTAAAAATATCACCCACAACTTCAATGGTATCTGGGACCATCATGTCCAAAGGGTCAAAAAAAAAATCCTTAGGGGTTATGCAAACATTACTCATAAAAACAGACTCATTAAAGTAAATTAGGATTTTTTTACAGAAGCTGGTACTCTTCATATGAATGCAGAATAAAGGAGCAGCCCATACTGCCTAATGATTGGTTTGGACTCTATAATTTTTCCTCCAAGAGGTAAAATGGGAGAAAAGTATGTTAGCACATTTACATGTTAGAAGATCTCCTCTGTCACCTAATTCAAGGTTAATCATGAACCTATCTCTACAGGTTTGTCAGGCTGTTATTTACTTATGACCATATTCACTGAGAACGGCTTTGTTTTCCAACAGCACACCTTCTGCGAGAGTTTAAATAATTTTTCACACAAGGACTTCAAGGTTATGTTGTCTTAACTAAGTCTTATCTTTCGTCCTAATTTGAAGTAACACTTACCTATATGCTCTTCCACACATCCCATAGTTTCCAGCTCCATAAGAACCACCAATAATCACTGTTATTTTAGGTACATTGGCACAAGCTACAGCGGTTACCATCTTGGCACCATCTTTTGCTATCCCTCCAGCTTCATATTCTCTACCAACCATGAAACCTAAAGAATTACAACATGAAAAAAAAAGCTCACTAACTTTATATTATTATACTGTGCCATACATCATACTATGTGCTTTATAGCACATGCAGAAAAAGATGAAGAACAGATCATAAGGCAAGGCCTTCACCAGATGCTGTCAGGCTGATTTCAGAACAGGCTGGAGATGTAGGTACAACAAAGCACACAAGATGCTATCAAGAAGTCATAGCCTCAACAGTTAACAACATTGTGTAACTACAAAACATTGAGCTTATTCACCTGTAATATTCTGCAAAAACACAATGGGAATGTTTCTCTGGCAACACAACTGGATAAAATGTGTACCCTGTGAAGAAAAAAAAAAGTAAGCCATTAAAAGTTGGATCAGTGAAGCTATCACTACCAGCACTCTGAAGTCTGTGTCAGATCTCCTTCCACTGAAGTCCACGGGAGTATTTGCATCATGAAGTGCTGTACTACTTCTGCTTCATCCAAAGTCAACTACAAAACATGCACTCACTCTTAACAGAAGAAAATGCCAAAAATGTGTGACTCCAAGGGTAAAGCAGAGATAACATCCTTAAAAAGCATTACTGCTCATACTGAAAAGCTCAACTGTTTTGACTCAGTCAATATGTTGTTAAACCACAGACAGCTAGTTTCACAGTGTGGCATCTGACATCGAGTCTTGTAAGACTGTGTCATGGAAATCACGACAGCCAGTCAGAAAAAAAACCCTCCTCATCTGCTGTACGAAATTGCTGCTGAAATTGGGAAAGGCCACATAACACTATCTGCTCATGGCCCTGCCAATTACTGTAACACTCTTTCCTTTCATTAAGAGCAAAAGCGCTCTCCCCATTTTCTAGGACAGGACCATTTTCCTAGCAAAGACAGAAATAGTAGATTCCAAGCTTCTGTTTCAACTATTAGAAATAATCTAAATCAATGAAGTTCCTCAGGTTATTTACAACTGCTGATAAAGTAACAAAAAGGTATGTAGCACAGCAACTGAAAAAACCTCTAACCTCTTCACAATACAAACCCAACAAAATTTACAAAAACAAGAAAGAGAAAAATCATGAAGCATAATCTTTAGCTGGCTTCTTCAGCACTCAAAAAGCATAGGGATGATCACAGAAAAAGAGATGTGTCACAACACATTACAAAAATGGAAAACAAAAAGAATATTGTTAAATGATGATGCTTACAGAAGCAATATCATCAACAAAGGTCTTTCTATATGTGAAACAAGTGAAACTTGACCATCTGTTCTTACAGTACTAATATGCCAGCAAAAGTCAGCAGAGGAAGATTCCTTACATTTTCTTCATTGGTAGGAAGAAAGTTGAAGCACTATGTTATCAGAAAAATATTGAAAGTATTACAAATACTGAAAGAGTTATTTTCAACTTGGAAATAATTGTGATAAAACAAAGGCTAGCTGAAAACAATGTCATTCACTGCACTGCTTCAAGTTGAAAGCATTCAGTATACGAAACTCGATTCCATGTATTATTTTATCACAGCAATAAATCAAGTAAAATTAGTTTCTTTCTCCAAATCTCTCATCAAAGCTTCCTTTTTCCTATAGATTTTCAATACTGATTTCCTCACCATTAGTTTGAGGAGCCTGATAGAACAAAACTACCATATATAGTTGCTATTACAAAAAAATCTACCAAAAGTAGCTTCTTGAAAAAGTAACTAAACCAAACAACATGGAACAAGGTAAGTAACCACTCTGCTGTACTCAGAAACTCTTTATCATCACCAATCCCACAAGCCCATCTGTAAAGTACTGTTAACTATAATGCAATCACAATATTCCAAAGATGCCCTTCAGTTCACAAACATGAATTTTAGTTCACAGTTTTATGAGACTGCATATATTATCACTCATTAGTCTAAGCCACGAGCTGTCACACAACTTAAAACTTTCCAGTTATTACAAAAACAATGATGTCATTTATTGCAGTACTTAACATTCTAGAGGTTAGGAATTGTAACTAATAGGGTATTTTATGCAATCAGCATGGACTTTTCTTGTAGTAGCTCTAAGTTTCAGGATATACTATTTAAACTGTTTCTAAAATATGGTCAATTATTTTTACAGCTTATTAAGCTATTCATGTTTACACTAAAAATGTGGACTAGTTTCATTATTTAAAGAAGTTCCGCATTTCAAGAGCAAGCTGTCCACCAGAAGTTTTGTTTCTCAATGGCAACAAAGCTAATAACTTATTTACCTTTTTTGCTGACTCTGAGAAAAGGACTCCATTGTTTCCAATAATTCCTACTGGATAACCAAATATTCTTGCAAATCCTGAAGGAGAAAGATAAATTTGTAAATTTTCACATATATTTATTTTCCATAGCATATAAAGGTAACACTTGGCAACAGAAACTGCTATTCTTTTTAAGAAAGTGTTACTAAAGACTGTTACTGGTGGGTGAGCCAAATAGAATAAATCCAGTTATAAATCCAGTGAGAACACATACAGAATAATTATATTTCTAAATACCTGTAATTAAAGTATCCCCATATAAGGCTTTGAATTCATCAAACTTACTTCCGTCTACAATTCTAGCAATGACCTTAAGAAAAAACAGAAAAATATAATGAAATTCCTATCTTTCATAGTTTTTGATTTCCTTAGAAAGAAAGACCATGTTAACATACAAGTTGCAAATAAACACTTTCCATTTAAAGAACATCAAGTAGCCCATCATATAAATAGTCTGGATGGCGGGAAAGCCCATTTACTTTTTTAAAGTGTGATTTATATACATATTTATAAAAATTGGAGTTTCAAGATTAAGAATATTCTGAGTAGTTTAAATTATATAGGAACAAAGTTTTCCTGATTAGTTAAATTTCAAAGAAAAAGTGCTACCTCTGGTTATATTAAACATTAATCAAGACTCATATTTATAAAGAGAAAAACATACACAGACATAAGTCACTTTCTTAGAGATAAGTTTATTTTCAGCTTTGCTTAAATTTGTGACATACAAAAATAATGAAGATCTGATCTGAGGTTTCTCTGAGATGCAAAGGAGTAATTTTAAATAAATATAGATCCACTGCTAGCAAGACATTTGCTAGAAGATACTTATTTCAACTTTAAAAGAACAAGCTATTACAACTTTTGAGGGTAGTGAGACATCTTTTTTCCCTTAATGCAAAGCAAATCCTAGTAATTTTTGAAAAAGTATTTTAAGAAAGGTACATACTAAGACACTTGAATAAATACTTTATTGATACTGAGGTAAATAATAACAGAAGACCTGCAGCAGAGTACAATAGTCTCCATCTGTGGTTGAGAGAGCACTGAATTGTTTGGGTTGCTTATATTCCACAGGTTTTTTTAATATTTGAACTCTACTTTCACAGGATTGACAGAAAAAGAGAAGCCATCACATCACTCAGCAAGTCTATCAAATGCTTTGTTACAATAATGTTACAATGGGGAACAATACAAAGTTCCCCGTTTTCTGGCAGCTTTTTCAAAAATGTTAACAATCTCTCATCCTTGCTCATCCTTCATGAAAATAAAACCAAAAAGCATTGTATTTTCAATATGTCATTGCCATTGCAATGGATTTGCTGGACAAAAAATATAAAAAAATGCATTACAAGATTTTATGACATTTAAATATTCAATATATACCCCAAATTAGGTTTCTGTAGAAAAACTATAATGATATAAAATGATTTCCTGCAAGAAACTGAGTGCATGCATGTATGGATCTTGCATTTATATTCATACCTCTTTGACATCAAAGTTTCTTTTTAGCTGGTCACCAACTATTCCATATATTTCATCAGCAGGAAATAAAGGGTCTTCTGATGGTTCTATAATCACCTGCAGCAATTTAACAAAACAGTGCACATAAAAAAGGAATTATTAGTCCACATTATGACTTAAAAAAGCAAACAACAATTAATTTCCTAACTGCTTTGAATATGATCTTCTCTTCATCAACCACATCAAAATGCCTGCACTGGCTTGTGCTTATTTTGCATAAAGATCAAGTTTCTTAAACTGAAGGTTGATAATCCTTTCTCACTTACTGTTACCATTGTTTCTACTCCTGCCTATACCATATGTGCTCCACTTCTTCCATGTTATCAAAAATTAAGCATGTCCTCCCATTTGCTTACTTCTCCCCTGTGCCCTGTGAAGCAGGTAGTATTCTGAAAAACCAATAAAGATTTTTGTCACACAACTGAGAACAACATCTTGCCTTCCTTCAGCTGCTGAGCTTTGATCTTCAATTCACTCTCTTGCATCTCCTGCCGAAATAAGGCAATTCCTCCCCCATATGCTATCAATCCTGTTTTCTACAAGGAAATTTCAAATCAATACAATACAATGACATGGTTTAGGTCTAACCCCTCAGTTTTACATCTTTTCATTAATAATCATAGAAAATGCATATTCAAGAAGATGCTTTAGCAGGTATCTAACTTAAGGTCCATGGGAATGATCATGTGGGCTTTAAATTAAGCACCTTACAAGAATAGATTAATCTTAGAGCACAATTTTGTGATTCTGAAGCACTGTTTTAGTTGCTTCAATTTTGCATATAATCCCAGTGATCTTACTGAGAATAATGTGGCAAGGATGTAATTACAGAATTGAAACGTTAAAGAAATCTTTAAAGACAAGAAACATAACTTCCATTTTCAAAGTGTCTAAAGCCAAAGACAGAAAATGTGTTGTACAAATCGGGTGAAGAGAAGTATTCCTAATTTAAATAATGCAGTGCTGTCAGATTTACACACTTACGTCTACTTTCTTTTGGAGATTTAAACTTCTCACAGCCTTCCTTGCTAGATGAAGTGCATGATTGTCATCCAAAGCATAATGATCTGTTACACCAGATTTTCTGTATATAAATAACAGCCATATGAAGACTTAAAAAACCAAATCTGACAATGAAAATTTAAGGTTTTAAAAACTTTTAAGACTTTAAAAGTTTTATATTTATCTTCAAAATATAGATGCTACAATACAGCTCTCTATGTTTTGTTATGAAATTACTTTCAAAAACAAAACACATGCCTGGACTTTTCTTTGAAACAACACATTCAGGTTATCAGACATGACATAAAATAGTAACTCTATGAAGTAAAAACTCTAAATGACAATATAAAAGATGACAAACATTGTTCAAACGAAAATTAATTTGAAATGATAATTGATTTGAAAATTAAATTGAAATTATAAAGCAAAGGTTTACAGAAACGTTATGAACTGCCCTTAAGAATAACTCTTTATTCACTTCAGAAAATTGAAGTAAAAAAGAATCATTTATTGTACAGTAATACTTAACTTATTGTAGAGTAACACCTAACTTTACTATTCTTTTCATACTAGAACTGGAAAGCACATAGAATTCTTTGTTTTGATAACAAGTATTCTTTTACAAAAACACAAGCTATTTTCATCTTGTTTGTAGTAGTTCTGACAGTCTGCAAAATACATTATCTTTCTCAATGTGTACTACTCCATTAACACACAGTATTGAACTATAGAAAAGTCTTCCATATTATGCATGCTGCTGAAGTACATTAGACACTTAAGTATTTTAAAGTAGTCAGTGAAGGAAACAAGATCTGAATTAGAGTAACTCTGCTACTCCATAGGCTAACTATGCTACCCCAACAAGAAAATGATTCATCAGCACCAGATAAGGACAAAGAAAATCTTAATTTTCAAAATTTGGTTATAGTTTTGAAAACAGTAAAAAAATATAAAATAAAATATAAAATAAAATACAAAATAAAATACAAAATAAAATACAAAATAAAATACAAAATAAAATACAAAATAAAATACAAAATAAAATACAAAATAAAATATAAAATAAAATACAAAATAAAATATAAAATAAAATAAGATAAAATAAAATAAAATACACCCCACTAAAGTGTAAAGGACAGATAAGCTCTGGACAAATATTTAAACCTGCAGTGAAGATCTGCCCCTCCAAGATCCTCTGCTGATACCTCTTCACCTGTTGCTGCTTTAACCTACCACAAGAAAAGCAGAACGATCTTTAGAGCTGACACTTGTCATACATTAATACTTATACTGGCTTAGTTATAGCAATAAAACAGATCTCTGCAAAATGCTCCTTCATTAATAATATTTCCTCAGTTAATCTGCCTCAGAGCATTTAAAATGTGATAACATGGAATCTTGTCAAAATTACTTAATTTCTTAGACTTTGTATCCTTATTCTAGCATTAGTGTGTAGTTTTTACTGAGAACAATTCTCCAATTATTGTTGTACTTACTGCTGTGTCCATTATTAGTTAGTATACTTACATGACCTTTATGTTTATGAACATGCATTTTCACAAAAATTTCTGACACTTAACAAGCAATTTCAAATGTGATGCTTTCCTGCATTGTTTCAAAAAACCAATACCTCAGTTGAAACTTAGCATTCGACTTTGTTTTGTCTACACAAACTCTTCTGTGAATTTTAAGTAATTTACTTAAATATTAACCATAAAACAATCATTAGCGGTTTTCATTTTCTAAATCTTCCATTAAACACACAAGAACTTAGTGAGAACAATTTCCTTAAAAAAAAATATAACTGATATAAAAGTGTTTGGATCAGTACAATATCTCCATAAAAATACCTGGAATGTACAACACAAATCCTAGTTCTGTCAAATCTTAGACCTGACAGGATAATTTGAGAGTGAGCGAACTCCTTAAAAAAAAAGCATTATCCTTTACCACATGGTAAAAAGCCCCTTTCTATCTAATGCATTTCCACTCTACCATAACTGCTTTGAAAAGGATTCCTTGCAAGTTGGTGAAACCATTATTCATCATGAATGGAGAATACAGAAGTAGCGCAAGACACAAGGGAAAACTATCATCACTTCCAAAACACATCTCAGTTTCCAAGTTCCGTACCTGAAACCGAAGCACACTAAATATATAAATATACATACACAGACCCACATATATTTCAAACTGTCAAGTTTATAAAATTAAGTATAGATAATTTCTTCATTAGTAGGGTTTTTGCTTTTAAATTTGAATGGCTACCCATATAATATGAAGGTGTGACATTCTGATACTAATTAACGAAAAGCTTCTGTTAGAGGCATAATTAACTTGAGTCTTCATTAAACAACAAACAGAAGAACATACTTTTAAGAGAAATTAAGAAAAAATTCTCCCTGGAATGGGTTAGCAAACACTGGGCCAGACTGCCCAGGGAAGTGCTTGAGTCAGCATCCCTGGAGGTATTTAAAAGACATGTAGCTGTGGCACTTAGGGACACAGTTTAGTGGTGGACTTGGAAGCGTTAGGTTTACAGTTAGACTCGATTATCTTAACCTAAACGATTCTACTGTATGAAATAATTCTATACATCTCTCTTTACACATCTGACACAGTATGCAGTTATAACAACAAACTGTGATTCTGTGACAACTGCAGAGCTTTGAACAAATCTGATCACGCCACTGATGTCTGTGAGTGCAGAAATCTAGACGTTGATTTCAACAACCTTTAAAAAATGTCTTGTTTCTTCTTGCAGAGAGATGAAGTTTTCCTTCTCCAAATCACAGAATTGGAGTTGTGGAGTCTGTCAGCCACCCTGGGAGATGGTCTAGTTTAACTCCCCTGCTCAACGCTGAGTCAATCAGAGAAGGTTGCTTATGACCATGTACAGTCAAGTTCTGAGTATTTCCAACAATGGAGACACTACAACTTCTCTGGACAACTTGGTTCAGCATGACCACCCTTGCAGTAAAAACCTGTTTTCTTACATCTAAATAGAATTTCCTGTATTTCAGTTTGTGCCTCCTGACCTGTCACTGGGCACCAATGAGAAGTCTGGCTATTCTATCTTTACTTCCCACTGCAAAGTGTTCATACACATGGATAGATTCCCCCTGAGCCATCTTTATACCAGTCTGAAAGATGCTAGCTCTCTCAGCTCCTCTTCATATCACAGATGCTCCAGTCCCATCAGATGGTAAAGATTGCCAGCCTTGACTTGCTGGAAACTCTCTAATGCATGCCCAGGACGTTGCTGGCTGTCTTTGTTGCAAAGTCACATTGCTGGCTCATGTTCAACTTGGTGTTCATCAAGACCTACAATGCCTTTTCTGCCAAGCATCTTCCCAACTGGTTGATCCCCAGCCTGTTCTGGTGCCCAGGATTATTCCTTCCAAGGAGCATTTGCCTGCTGTGTTTAACTTCCAAAGTTTCAATTCAAGTCTCTTTCTTCAGCCTACTGAGGTCCCTCTGAAAAGCAGCACAATCATCTGCTCTATTAACTACTCCTCACAGGTTTCTGTCACCTGCAAATTTGCTGATGGTGAACTCTGGACCACTGTACAGGTCATCAATGAAGATGCTGAATGGTATTGGTTCCAGTAGTGACCTCTTGGGTACACCACTACTGACTGACCTCCAGCTTGAGCCCAGCAGTTGAATCAGTTCTCAGACCACCTCACTGCCCATTTACCCAGTACATCTGTACTGGATGTTATGGAAGAGTGTCAAAAGACTTGACAAAGTCAACATAAACAACATCCACTGCTCTCTGTTTCCACTAAGCCAGTTACTTCAGCACAGAAGTCTATCAGTTTGGTCAGTCCTGATTTCCCCACTCTAAATCCATGCTGACTACTCACAGTCACCTTCTTGTCCATAGTGCTTTTGGAAATAGCTTCCAGGATTATTTGCTCCACCACCTTCCCAGTGCAATGCAGTGCAATAAAGCATTCTACAAACTTTATGCAGTGCAATAAAGCATTCTATGAATTGCAGTTTAAATAGTACTAATTTCTTAAAGTTCACAACATTCAAACAGACTGCAAATAGAGCCGTGACAAGGTATGTGGGGATTTTCAAAGAAATCCCTGTTCAAGCTACTTCAGCTAGCAATCATCAGGAGAAACAAACACAAACTTTAGCTAAAAGTGCATTTCCCACAATAGAACAGACTGACATGTAGAAGAGTACCTAATGCATAAATATACATGAATTTGACAAACTTAATCCCTTTTTACTAGACTTTCCTTTCCTGCTGAGCACAGAAAGTAGCAAATTTACCCAGAAGAAGGAAGAATCAGAAGTTTCTGGAATAGGATGGAGAAGTCAACACAGCATTCTGAGCTACTGAGCAGTATTGCCAGGGGTGGGGATATAGATTCTTCAGCTTGGGGGAGTTCAGCAGAATGACCCTAGATATTACCACTACTGTAACACCTCTCCTCTCACTACTGAGATCTACCTATTCGTTAAGTCATTACTCCTCATCTTCTTAAAAAGAAGGCCAAGGAAACTTGCACTTTACATTTTGCACCTTCAATTTACTTAGTTTTAGCATACACATCCCAAGACTAATTGTAACTAACGTCAAGGATTTTCTTTTTCTTCCTTATGATGTTTTGTTTTAAGCAGTTGAGCGATAAAATGCAATCCAGTTTTCTTCATATAGGAAAGATATTTTGGGGAACAAAGCATGCAGAGTAATGGCTACAATATCTGCTACAACATGGAAGGGAAGTTTCTACAGGAGTATGAAGTAATTTTGATGCTTAGAGAAAGGCAAGCAAAATATTTTCAGTGAGAATATGAAAAGCTCTACCAAACAGAAAAGCTGACAGGTAATGATATTGAAGTTTGATCTATACAAACAAAGATAAGGATCATTACATCTACAGGTTGCTAAGGAACAAATTAAATTGGTAGAACAGTGGTGAAATCTGTCTCTGGAAGTGGTGAGAATTTTCATCCTTTCTAAGTTCACAACATCCTTGCAGTTACTGACTTGTCTCCCGACATGTTCCCTTTGAGACCTGACTCAGGCCATCTTTTTTCAGCTGCCTATCCTGGCAAGTCTCCTGGGCTACATCTCATTGATACACATCTATGACCTAAATTCCCTTGTGATGTTAAATGATTACTATCGTCTTAAAACAAGAGTTTCTGGTTCCCTTTTTTTTCAGCTTCATAGCCAGCTTCCTGGCTAGTACTGGATATTAGTTGTCTTATTTTGTAACTGCTGGAGCTGTAAAGAAACTGGCTTTAAATAAACTCTCCAGGACACATTACTCAGTGCCCGAAAGGGGCCTCCCAGAGTCTGATGAACCTTTCTAGCTCTAACATAGCTCCAAGCAGAATCACTCAAGGTGCACAGCAAGGTGCTCCTGCCAATGAAAATGCTATGTCAGAAGAGCTGAGCTTGCTCAGGTCTTTCAGATTTACTTACCTGAGCTTCTGCAACAAATTACTCTGAACCTGAGCAAGCCTCGGAGGCAGTACAGCCACTGTATGTGCCACAGGCTCTAAGCTAATGAACTGTGCTGGACCTAGAAAGGGTTACACAGCTCAGGTGTTCCTGCACAGCCTGATGTAAAAAGTTCATTTCTTTCATTGCACTAACTTCCTTATCCCAATAAAAAGATGCATGAATCATCCAATGTTACTCACTCAACTAATATCTTTATGCATATTTATGCCACTTTTCACCAGGGAAGTCCTAATACCTAAACCACAGTGACAAATTTACAGAAAATTGCTTAATTTTGAGGGAGGATTCGTCTCTGTTTACTCATAAACAACAAGCTGAAAGAGACTCATACAAGATAAAAAGGAACAGAGACCTAGGTAAGAAGACATTTCAAACAATTACTGCCAAAGAAATTCCAACAAAGAAATTCTAGAATTTTAAATGCTAATGAGCAGCAAATAAATTAGTGTTAAATGACATATTTGCTATTACTTCATCTGCTTTTGCTGATTACTTTGTTGTTCTTGTCAACTTGGAAAGCCTCCACTTAAACAATAAAATGCTTCAAGCTAAATGCATTATTTTATTATGGTAGACAACAAAGTATCCTTGCACTTATAGGAGGGTATGTGTGTGTGTCCCCACTGCTTTCAATATTTCAGTTACATTCTGAATTTATTCAAGATGTTCTGGAACAGTAATTAGCATATACCAGCCATAGCAAAGTATGTCTGTATAAATTATTAGACTTTTTTTTTTTTTTTTAAGCCTCACAAAAATTTAAAATCCAGCTATACAATTAACTTTGGAAGAAAAAATGGGTATAAAATGCTAAATCCATTTTTATCATCAAGATGACACAGTGAGAGAAAAAACACCCTAAAGTAAAGGAAAAGAATGAAATGCAAAAACATACTGTGGAAATGAGAACAGTGCTGTACAAGTAAAAATTAAATGACATTACAGCTAACTTCTTCATGCTTTTAAGGAAATTAACATAATCATGCCTTAGGAACTGGTCAGCAAAAAAAACCAAACCTGTCAGTCTTGCCTTTCCATAGTTTATGGGACCTGCTACATTTTCCCAATGGAAGGTGGTGGAAAGAAGTGACTTCAAGCAGACTCCCCCCTCCTCTGTTAGTAAAGGAACTGAGTGGAGCAGTATCTTCACTAGCAATGCTGTTACAAAATGATTTCTCCATTTAGGCCTGTTCAAGTTGGAAGGATGTTTGACAACTGATTTGCACTTGGCTTTGTCACAGGAAGCATGCCTAAAAGTTCCCAAAAGGCCATAACCAAAGCAGAGCCAAGGTGCTACCTCAGACCAGTTTGTTCAATGAGACAAATACTTGAATATTTCAAAAAAGCAAATTTACCCAGTCAGACTGGAATAGTTGTGCTGGGTGCTGCCCTACCTGGTAGCTCTAGCACTAACATAACATTTACTACTGGAAATTCCTTTCTTCTCATAAAGCTTGTGTTAACTAAAATAATCTTTGTTAGCAAAGATTATTATTTGTATCAGTATAAAACTGAGCCTACACTACAATATACACTGGTACAACTGTTTTAAAAACCAATAAACCCCACTCACGCATTCCCCTTTCTGTTGGGAGACAAGCTTCTGCAATTTAGCTTTAAAATGTCTTATGTTACAATAGTTTGCACAGTCACAAATTCCATCATGAGTTCCACAATAAAGCAGTTTTAATTCACAGGAGTTCTTCAGGTCAGTTTCCTTGGAAACAATTCCCTTACTAAGAAAATAAGGAAATGATGACAAACTCCATCATAAGTGCATCTCTTCTGTCTGTAAATTGACATAAAATACAGCAGATCAGTCCTGCTTCTGAAGTTCTCTGATGTTGACTCTGAGATATAACGTACATGCTTGGAATTTTTTTTTTTAAATTTCACGTCAAACCTAGAGACTACATAACTGAATACAGAAGGCATTTTTTATCATTTAAAATGTGCATGGTAATCTAAAAGCAGTATTATAAAACCAAATTGAAGTCTGATTTATATATATACACCTCTATCAGAAGAGATTTAATTCAGGATATAAACATTCAGATATACTTAAAAAATGCAAACTAATCTACAGATATCTGGAAGTACCTCACCAAGAAAGGTCTCAATAGTTTAAGCTGTACAATTGTCATCAGCACAGTATCTAGTAACTGTTACTAGAAACTTTATTATCCTTACCAGTGGTGGCCCTCCCAAGAATATTGTTCCCTGTTTGCCAACAATAATACTTTCATCAGCCATTGCAGGTACATATGCTCCTCCGGCTGTACAGGATCCCATTACTACTGCTATCTATTGGGAAAACAAAAACCACAAGTAAATGAATTGTCCAACCCTTAAAAACAGCAAAGGCACACAGTACTATTATATATTGTACTGATTTTAATACAGGTTCTGGGACAGCACTGCAAGATTATTTTTACCTGGCACAGAGAAATTTTAATTTATGTTTTAGCTTTTCTTCAAAACAATAGGGACTCTCTCTAGTTTTCAACAGTCTCTTAAACTATGATCTTCAGGCCACCCTGCAGGAAAATTCACATGTGATGTACCGTGAGCTTTGTATGTGAAATGTTTGAAGAGGCACACGTTCTACCAGGTAATTTTTTTTACCAATGAATGGTAAAACACTGAAACCTAGAAGTTTCTCCCAGTATTTATGCTTAAGTCAGAGCTTCAGTTGCTGCTTACTGGCATAATTTCACCAATGTCAACATCCTTTGAAGAAAATTCCTCACATCTATGAGTATGTAACTTCAGTTCTTCAATGGATCAACTAACTAAATCTGCCCCTTCAAGGCGTGTTGAATATATCTCATTACAGGCTTTAGCATGAATAATCTCTGCTTCATGTTTTTGCTTAATTTTGAGATGGACTTCTACCCAATGAACATTTTCTACCAGTAATATTTTGGTGACACTTTTACAAAACTGAATTCACCCCAGATATGATGAATAGCATAGCAGCATAGGATCACGAAAGTGAAGTGTCTCACTTCTCCTTCAGGGGAGCTCCTCCAAAGAATTTTTCAAAACAGCTTGTAAAGTAGAAGAAATGGAATACTAATATGAAAAAGGCAGACAATAAGAAATGCTTTTTTTCACAACCACAAAAAGCCCACAAACCACAAAGTAATGATATTTTGTGTTAACTTTGTTTGGAAATACTTATAAAGCAAGATCAAATGGTGTTCTGTATTAAACAATAATTTAATGTTTGCTCTTAAAAGAAAAGAGCACACAGAAATAAAACTTCAAAATCACATTACCCATGTCTAAAGCAGAAGTAGATGAACTATGTCAACCTGCTATCATCAAACAGCTTTTCCAGTAGTTTTCAGTATCTTAAACTATATTCAGTCACATAATTAATCTGCAGTGCTTCTACTGTGCATTTAATAAATAGCTCCTCATAAATACAAAGATAACATAAGCCTCTAGAAATGGGAGAAACATGGGGAAAAAGTTCAATTTGATTTTTTCCCCAGGACTTGTGTTTTTTCCCCAATTCTTCATTTTACCACACTTACGCTGAAAAACATGCCTGCATTCAATTTAATTTAATTATGCTACTTTTTCCAATACATAATCTGGAATATGTATGTATTGAAAAAAATCAAAATTTACCTGTCAAATAACACAACTTCAAATTCCCAACTAATGTGCTACTTCCTGACTTTACTGCATGGGAAATTACTTAAGATCAAAATAACAATCAACAGTTCTGAATGTACACACAGTATTTCATACCCACTGATCAGCTCCCCACTGTATCCACGCAGCATCTGAGAGAGTTTAGGAAGCAGTTAATGAGAAGTTAATCACAGCTTCCTGATTCACAAGCCATACAGACATCAATGTAATTTAAAGCTGCAGTAGGAGTATAATAAATTAGTCAGAGGTAAAAGTGGAGGGGGAAATGAAAAGCACCATAGGCAACTGAACCCAACCAAAAAAAAAAAGCAAGCACTTTAAGGGCAAAATTGAGAAAGGCTGATGAACTGATGAAATGGACCTTCGGGCAGACCACAACAAAGAACACCAGGTAGAAAACTAACAACATCCAGACTCCATGTCAGAAGAATTAACCAGAATGGAAATTAGAGGGAGCGTAATTTCGTAACACCATTTCCTAAGGAAACATCCTCCAAGATATGGAAGATGATTCTAGTTACCAGCGTCTGTTAGGACAGAATCAAAAGCAGTTTTACTAATGTTAACAGTGCCTTTTTGAAATTAAACAAAGGATAGAAACATCTCCCCAACAAAATACACCCATAGGACATCCTTTAAATGAAGGAAGCACTTCAGTAAACCATTTTTCCTGGTCTTCCATAAATATTTAAAGAAAGTTAAACTTTTATCAGTGTCATACCAAACAGAAATGTGTTATATTAAAAGGTAAATCTTTCCTATACTTAGTTTTTATTGTACAGGAGTACGGTGATACTCTTAATACAACACTATATGGTAATTAAAATAAAAACAAATTCAACTTTATAAGAAAATACAATAAAGTTGTTTCAAGATATTCCGGAAAACTTCAGCATAATTTTAGGGCAGGCATTTCTAAAAAGGTTCTACATCAGTAATTCCAGCCCTGCAAACAGGCTTTATATATGCATCTTTGACATAACACCTAAAAATCCCTACTCCCGTACCAGATTATGACTGGAGTTTACCAAAACTTCTCCTAAAAAGACAGTTCAGCAAAACAGCCCTGTAACCATCTCTTTTGACACCTGCTGTTCCACAACAATGCTGGGACCAATTTTATTCACATGTATAAATCTAAAGTACAACCCAGACCTACATCCACAGGATGGCCAGCTTGTAAACTGTCTTTCTTCCAAAATATTTTTGTTCTAACTAAAGAGTGCTTTTCCTCTGGAGACCTAGCTAATCACTACAATTCCTCCACTTTTATTGTTTGTAAGAAAAGAACAGCAGAAGTTAAATTATGTCAACCTTTGTAAAAAGATTTAGTGTGTTGTTGGAATTGTCAGCCTTGGATTTCTCCGGAGGCAATGGATTTCAGGATTCTTTAGTAGAGGAAAAGATGGTTGAAGACCTGAAGTCTGACTTGCTTCCAAAATGTGCCCAAAAGGTAACAAAGTAAGAAATGTACTTTCCTCAGAAATCATGCAAAGTCAATGTCTGCCATGTAAGGGAGTCAGATGGAATACTGTATCCTTGAAGGAAGTACTAGCTTCTATTTCCTCCTTTTAGACTAGCAGATTAAACAAGCACAGCCTCACAGAAAACAAATAAAAATGGTTCCAGCCCAACTACACCTCTTAATGACATATGTTGGCAAGAATGAAGAAAATAAAGTCCTATTTCCACTTTACATTATTGATGAGTTCAAGAGTCAAATATGTCAAAACAATACGGCAATGAAATACTTCCATGGCAGTATTCAGATGAAACAGCAAGTTAGCTAAACATTTACTCTGCTTGAGGTTCCAACACCTATTTCTAAGCCTAATGTTCTAAACCAATTTTTCCTCTCAGGTGGAATATCTTGAAAATTCCCTTCACGTTCTTTCATCCAGCCAATATACAATGATTGGCATTGAACTGACAACTATGCCTAGGAGTGTGCTCTTGAAATTAAGGTGACTCAGTGAAAATACCAACTCACTGCTCAGCAGTCAAAAAAAATCAAGTATGTTAGGAAGTACTGGCAAAGGAATAGAAGAGATATATATATAGATATATATATATAGATATATATATATATATACACATATATATACACACCCATCATTAGTTGACATATTGACAAGTGCAGTCTGGCTCCTTCAACTCAGAAAAGATATGACACCTGGGAAAAGGTTTACACAAGCTAAACTAGGACTACCAAAGAGGTATGGAATATTTTTCTGTAGGAAGAACAGCTAAGTAAGCTTGAATTCTTTGGCCTGTAAAGAAGAGTAAGAGGTGGGTGTATGAGAGGCATATACAACCATATGAAGAGGCTGACAGCTGACTGAGTAGACAGCAACTTTGCAGGAAAGACCTGGTCTTCTGCCTTCCTGGTGTAATCCTCTATTTGGAGGAGGTTATCTTGAAAGACTACAGACTCTTCTGCCTTCTCTGGCAACCCCTCAGAGGTCCCTGCTGACAACTCCCTTAACAAGCCCAAGACTACTCTCCTGAAGTCCAGGGTCTTTATCCTGCTACCTGCCTTTCTCACTTCCATTGGGACCTTATACTCTGTTTTCCACTTCCACTGGAGCCAAGGCTGCCATCACCAATCCCATCCTCAAACAGTTCTACATTCTTCATGAGTAACAGATCCAGAAGAGCACTTCCCCTAGCACACCACCTGCGTCAAAAAACTGACCCCAACGCACTCCTTAAACACCCATGACACAAAACCACTTCTAAATACAGGAACTGTGACTAACAGTAATTCTATGCATCATTAATACATTAGAAAATAACCTCATTGTTAGGGCAGTTTTATCATACGGCACATCAGTGTATAAAATGGATATATAAATATATGCATACCCTGTTAGTAAAGCATGTCTCATTTACTAGCCATCATCAAAGGGGTCCTCACCTTTACAGCATTAATGCAGAATCACCAACTGTTCCAAGAGATTTCCTAGTGCTTCATTACATGGCCGTACAGCCATGTTGTCATGTTTCTTCTCCCACTCCAAGACAGGAGCAGGTAGGTCATGTCATTAACACTAAAGCCAAGAAAGAAGACAACTTCTTCAAAACTATAATGACTTTTTGTGGACAGTTACTGTGCTTACAGTGTTTCCAATTCCCAGACTGGGCCATCAGGTCAGCACAATACAGTGCTGTCAAAAACAAAGTATGGGTGCAAGCCTTGAAAGCAGGTAAAGACAGAAAGTATAAAAACTAATTAGTACATTTCATTCTTAAGTAAAAGCAAATTACCTGGGGAATTCCTTGTGAGGACATGACTGCTTGATTATAGAAAATACGGCCAAAATGATCTCGATCTGGAAATACTTCTGCTTGCCGAGGTAAATTTGCTCCTCCTGAATCAACTAGAGTGAATGAAAATATGTTAACATGACTTTGAACAGTGTTACATCCTTAAGTTGTTGGTAAAGTAGCTGCATGTTACTTAAAATATGCAGCAGCTACTATCACTAACACTATTTGTATTTCCATGAATCTAGGAAATTTAGGATATTAGGTATTAGGATATTCTTGGAAAAAAAGGAAAAATAGTAACACTCCTCTCCCCAAGTAACATCCATCCCAATAATTCGAATGGAAAATAAATTCAGATGTGCTTAGAGATGTAACTGTACTTCCCTATAGAAACTTCTTAACTCCTCTTACTGCAAGATATTTAAACTGAGAACACTTTAAACATACAATTTTAACTCAATTATTCTATTGCAATTCTGTCACAAGTTCCAGACTAACCACCACTGAGTTCAAGAGGTATAGCACGTGTACTTTCATAACTTGACTATACAAACATACCGACGACTTTATACTAAGTTTAGGAACCTTCATATATTATGTGTCCTTGCCTCACAACGTGCCTTCCAGCTTACAGGTCTCCAAATGCAGCTACTGTTTCACTCCTAAATAATGAATACACATCATGTCATGAGACTCTTAAGAAGGATAGAAGACTAAAAGGAAATGCATTGGGAGGCCAAGCATCTCTGAGAACTCTTGCTCCTGGTAATTTACTTTCACCTATGAGCAACAGTCCACATGAACATTCTCATGTTATGTGACTGCAGTCGGTAATGCCCTACACTCAGCTTTACTATGAAGCAAGGTTTTGGTTCTTTCTCCTGCCCTTGCAGAACTACTCTCCCAAACCAGCATCAACTCCAACCTGGTCAACACACCAGTGCTGTGAAATGGGCCATCCCTAAACACAAAAGAAAATGCCCACACGTGATTGCCTCAGCGACAAATGGCACCAGATGTGCACATCAGAATTAATGTGTAGGAGGCTACCACTGAGGCGAAAGGCAGTTCAAATGGCATGGAAATTACATGATCAGCAAAGGGCTGACTGTTTATCAAGCACTCCCTCTTGATCCAATGACTGAAATGAACTGAAAAAAGCCCAGGTATAGAAATTGAAAAGGTAAAATAATTCACCGGGTTTGAGTGATGAGCAGTATATATATACAGGGACTATACATCTCAAAGCTGGAATAAAAGAATTAAACTTTGAAAGGCATATCTGTGTCTCACAGTTCCTCATTCCACAGGATCTTAAAAACTGTAATTGTACACTGATGATTCACTAAAAAAGTTGTCTGAACACATAGAATTTGTTGATAATTCAGACTAAAAAATCATGCAGTTGTTTTGCAAACAGCAAATCTAAATGTATTCTGTTTTTTATAACTAATATAAAATTTAGTGCTCCCCTTCCCTACAAGATTCTTTCCATTGCAGTATGTCAATCCCACTGAGTCCCCACCCGACCCTGTGTCCACCCCACCAATACTTTCAAGTTCACTTTTGTCCTAATGCTTCTCTTTGTATTCTTTGCATGTTTGGCCTGTCAGCAGGCCAAGAAATTACAAATACTTATGTTGGCCAGATCTACGTTTATGTTGACTACCTAACTAATACAAGCATCCCAACTGGCAAACCACTTACTGCCTCTCAGCTGCCATGCAAGCAAAGTCAAGCAGAACAGACAAGGTGTAACCCACCCTATTCTTTAAATGGAGATGGTAAAATTGTCTTTCTCCTCTGATGCTGACACACAAAATCCACAGGTATACACACTCTCTTAAATCTCTCTGTCAAAATTGTCTGAAATTGGCTAATGGGTTTGAAAGTTATTAGATTGGGAATTGAGGCTGAAAGACAAACACAGGCAGAACACTCTTGTATTTGTACAAAACCAGGCTAAGAAAATACTACCTGTACACTAAAGACTCTGGCATCTTAATCTTTACTAAATGTAAGCATAAGTAAAACTTACATGAAGGTTTAGTTAAATACTGATTTGACAAACCAAACTCAAAATGCAAAATAATATACAATCAAATCTCTGCTTCAGTAAAATTTATCCCAAATTGTAAAAATCTGTTGATCCAAACTATTATTGACACTTTTAGCACTAACACATTTTTATTTCTTTGGTATGTTCTCCCATACAGCTACATGCTCCACCAAAAGGCAAAGAATTTTTTTTTTTTAAAACTGTAATTTGAATTAAGACTGGATGAGACTACAGAATGGATTGCTCAAGCATGACAGAAGGAAAATAATGAGAAAGAAATGATACAGTGGCATAGTTATAGTTATATCTTATGAACCCAGCCCTACAGCAGTGCACGAGACAGTGCTGAGAAGCTATGGGTACCCTTAGGTTAAGGCTTGCCACCAATCTGTAGAGATAACACAGTATTGATGAAAATACGTTTGAATATGTGTGTCTAAAATACATACCTGGTTAGCCAAATAATTTGGGGACACATCAGTTTCAGCAACACTTATTTAAAGAAGTAGTATCTCATTTAGAGATCCTGAGCTGCCCTTAACAAAGGACATTTGCTGTTCCTGCAATGGAACTTACCCAGATATAGGCAAGGGAGATGATTTTGCATTGCAATTTCTTGAGCACGTAAATGTTTCTTAACTGTGATGGGATAATAGGTACCACCTTTGACGGTTGCATCGTTAGCAACAATCAAGCATTCCACCCTAAAAATAAATTTATGAGAAAAATATTTCTAATGAGTAAGTATCTTTGTTGGTTAACTGCAACAAGCCAAAGACTCTCAAAGCCCTGATGCTCAAAAAGAGCCCTCTACACCTGCATTCCCTCAAATGTACATTGTTACTCCAGTCTCAGCACTATGATGTCCTGTTCCAGTCCCTTAACTCTCTAAAATAATGCTGTATAGCACCGTATCTAATTTCAGCAACAGTCTTGGAAGTACTTTCAGTGAGCAAAACTAACTCTTAGCCTAGAATACTGCCCTGTTTTTCAAAAATTGCCTTAATAATTTCTTTTCTTCAGCAGACACCAGAAACTCTATGTGTGTTCTGCTTTAATATGGGATACACTAACTAAAAAAAAAAATGAAAACACTTCCTTTTAGCTAAGTAAGACACCAACTTTATTGATTTTCTGGGTATCAGAAACGAAACACTAAAAACGTTAATAGTTTAACACTGAAAACTGAACAAAATTATACGTTCTTCCTTTTCATATCATAATAATCTAGATCACTGGCATCTCTCACCCAGATACTCGTCCAATGCCTGTGATAATGCCTCCTGCTGGAACCTCTTCATTACCATACAACTGGTAACCTGCAAACTGGGAGAACTCCAAGAATGGAGACCTGAATAATGACAAATGTAACACAATTTTAAAAATGAATTGGCCATATTTGCCATTGAATCTCACTTAAAAGGTTAATTTTTTTAAAATGAGGGTTTTTTTAAAAAAATGAGATGAGTATTTCAAAGAACATTTCTGCAAAATTTCAACTGTGTTACATGCCAGTGTTTATGGAAACCAAAAAGAAAACAAGGCTGCTGCAGTACTTACCCGCAAAAGAGAACCTGAAGTGTTTTTTAAAAAAAATAATGTACCTACCCGGGATCAATAAGCCTGTCAATTCTCTCTCTGGGTAACAGCTTTCCTCTTGATGTGTGAAGCTTACGTGCTTTTTCTCCACCTCCTGTGATACAATAATAAATTGTTAGATTTACTATGGACACAAATAAATCACCACTTATATTAAAACTCAGAATGGAAGAACTGATGAGCTCCCAGTTTTTGAAGTATGGACCCTAATAATGAATTTAATAAATAATGTTTTCCACTTCAAAAAGATTAAACATATTGATAAAAGTCCTTGCTTTTCAGAAACTACTCCATCTTCCCCCTCATTTTTTATAGTTAGTCTTGAAGTAGAGATTTTAATTAACATAGTCTGAAAGTCTCCCCCACTGCTTGGCAATGAATGGAACAGCTGAGAACACAAACACAGAGACAAAAAGAAAAGCAGTAAGAACTACAAAAAATACTATTCCTCAGAAAAGCTATGCTGATTCCAGTCTTTAAAGATGCAACACAATCTGGATTCATTTCCTTAGATCACTCCAAAACTGCAAGCAGAGTTCAGACACACAGCAATTACTATCAAGTTTATCTCTTTTTCATTTCAATCCTTTACTCAAGGTCATCCTAAATCATATTTTTTTGCTCTCTAGAGCTTTGTGTCATGCAATACTTAAGATTTGTTGACACACCTCAGCCTCTCTATAACAACAGCTTATACAAACACTGTCTCTCTATGTAGACACATCACTGATCCATCTCATCACTCTAAAACTGTCTCCTCCATCCGAAATAAAGAAGGTGCTATCTTGCTAACATTTCTCCTGAGACTTCAAGATTTGTCAGCTAACCATCACTGAAACTGAGCTTTTAAGCCTACCTTTCAAGACTTTTCTCTCACCTCCTTCCTTGATCACTGCACATAATTTCCTACCTGTTAGGCATGCCAGAAAGCTCACAATTTATTTCTGGTTTAGCCTATTCATTAGATCTGTATATCCTAAGCTAAGTCTTGTAAATTCTTTCCATAAAAGTTTCTTAAGATATGTTATCTCATGATATGTATTCTCATATCCACCCACAGAGCTAATACTCTCATCCAAGTTCTCAATATCCTACATCATAACAACTATTTTCTCCGACCTCCATCTTGTCTATCTCATTTACACCCACAGTGATGCTGCAAAAATAATTTACCATCCCGTGATTTTTGTCATCTCTGTGTACACTCCCTCTTCACACGCTAATCATAACTGCTTGCTCTCCAGGCCTGTAGTCATTCTACCAAACACTTCTCTTCCAAGATCAAGATATTTGTTCTACCCTATGCTAGTCTGGATTCTGTAGACTCTGAGAAGCAGCGTTCCAGACAATGAAACAAACTTGGAGGCATTTAATTTTAAATCCCTTCTTTAATTTCTCCTTTACTCTAATGTCTATGAGAACTTCACTGTGATTGCTGCTGTGCTATGATTGCTGCCAGTCAGAGACTAAAAGTATCTCAGTTACTTCCTGTGCTTGCTATCAGAAATCTGTCTATTTCAATTTCTCACAGCCTGTAAATTCTTTGGGGCAAGGACCATCTCCCTGTTGCAGAGTAGGGAATTCAGTAGAACTGAATATGGGTTCACAAAAGCCCTACCCACTGAAGTAACAGATAAAGAATGAAGCATTCATTACAAAGACCTCAAGCCAGAGCTCAGACTCTGAAAAGCAGCTCTTACAAAGAAAAAGATATTGTATTTATTTTTCAAAATTATTCAGTATAAGTACATAATTTTTTTCATATACTTAAATGATAGGCAAAGCAATCTTAGTTCATGTCACTCAAAATGGTGTATTAACATCCTGGTAGAGCTTCCCAAGATGGAGGAAAAGATGAGGGCCGTGTTCTTGTCTTGTTGTCATGTAACAGGCAGGAACAGGAAAACGTGCCGCAGTGAAGAAGGCTATTAGTTCATGAGCACCATAGGCAATTGCTGAATAGTCTCTACACCCAAAAAAGACAGAGGTAGTCCATGGGTTTCAGCATTTCCAAAGGAAATCCTGGAGCTTTGTTTCACAGCAAGAGAAAACACTAGGCATAAAATCTTAACTGTGCTCCATTCAAAAGATGTAAAAGAAACTGCATTATATAAGAAACAGTATATGAAGAGACAAACTATCATGACGGATACAAGGGGAGAATTTAAGCTGTGTGCTCAACCTCTGGCAGCCCAGGTAAGCATTTATAAACCATTTATAAATTCTATCATCCCTGTTAATTACAGTCAACTGTAATTAATTCAAGTAGTCTTACAAGCCAAGAAGATGAAACACAGATTTCAATCTTTTAAACTATTACAGACTTGCTTTTGTTTGCCAGCACGACTAAAATGAGGGTCTTTGCATTCCTGGCACATGAAGAGACTAACATGCAACTTGAACAGAAGCACATTTGCCAAACCAATTTGTTACAAAAGCAGGCAACAGTGGATGAAGCAAGAAAGCAAGTGAGTGGAAAGTGTATCAGTAAAAGTATTTCATTAAAAATCCTATCTATTTTTTAAAAATATTGTTGTTAGAAATATACATTCCGTTGATTACAGTGGAACAATGGAAACTGATTGAACGTTATGACAGAAACTTTCAACAAAGCCAAGTGCAAGGTACTGCACATGGGTCGAGGGAATGCCAAGCACAAATACAGGCCGGGTGAAGAGTGGATTGAGAGCATCCCTGACAAGAAGGACTTGGGGGTACCTGGATGGAAAACTGACTATGAGTCAGTAATGTGTGCTCACAGTCCAAAAAAACAATCGCATCCTGGGCTGCAGCAAGAGAAGTGTGGCCAGCAGCTCTCATGAGACCCCACCTGCAGTGCTGTGTCCAGCTCTGGGGGCACCAACATCAGAAAGGCATGGACCTGTTGGAGCGGGTCCAGAGGAGGCCACAAAGATGATCAGGGGGCTGGAGCACCTCCCCTGTGAGGACAGGCTGGGAGAGTTGGGGTCGTTCAGCCTGGAGAAGAGAAGGCTCCAGGGAGACCTTATAGTGGCCTTCCAGTGCTTAAAGGGGGCTACAGGAAAGATGGGGAGGGACTCTATCAGAGAGTGCATGACAGGATGAGGGGTAACAGTTTTAAACTGAAAGAGGGTAGATTAAGATTAAATAAAAGGAAGAAATTCTTCCCTGTGAGGGTGGTGAGGCACTGGCACAGGTTGCCCAGAGAAGCTGTGGCTGCCCCCTCCCTGGCAGTGTTCAAGGCCAGGCTGGACCGGGCTCTGAGCAACCTGGTCTAGTGGAAGGTGTCCCTGCCTACGGCAGGGGGGTTGGAAGTAGACGATCTTTCAGGTCCCTTCCAACCCAACCCATTCTGTGATTCTATGATTACTAAGATCTTAACTAATAAAAAATTAACCAACTCTAAACTTCCAGTTTTCACTATCTACTTGCTTATTTTTGTCTCTCTGGCAATGAAACTAATCTTCTGCTTGACTAACTCAGCCTTGCTTTCATACATATCTGCTTCCATTAATTTACAGATTTGCTTGCATTAGGATATTGCTCTGATAGTCAACTGGCAAACAAAAAAATGTTAACACACTAGATATTGTGATAAACAAAGAAGTGCAAATGGCAGGCCATTTTTCTTAGCTAGCCTGAGTTAATTACAAAAACCACTGAATTTTGAACCAGATTAGCTTGGACATAAACCTTTTTTCAACTGATAGAAGATGCTAAATCTAGATTTAAACAGATGAGCTATAATTTCAACATGGCTACTATAATCCAGCAAATACACTGTATGTGAATGAACTGATTAATAAACATATGTTTATTATATATATTCCCTATAGGGGAAAAAGATCGAAAGAACATATCTGGGTTTTGGACCAAATTAAACAAGTGTTCTAAAATCTAGACTATCATACTTACCTAATCTGATTTTTTCTGCTTGCATTTGGAGTTCAGTTACCAGTGCTTTCATTCGTTCATAGTTTTCCTAAGTGGGGAACAAACCAACATTTTAAATTTAACCAAGAATGACAGTATTATTTTTTAATAAACACAAAGATTTATTTATCTTCCAAATTTCATTTTACTGTATTAAATAGTGGCTCTGTATTGTCTTTAAAATAGTAACATTTCTACCTATGTATTGGTTTTCCTCAAGAATCTCAAAACATTTAACAAACATGCTTCAAAAAACCTCTGAGTGCATTAGGATTGTAAAAGACTAGTCCCAAATTTAATAAACAAAACCAGACTTAGTCATTACAGAGTTGAAGTGCTGTTTTTCGTGGTTCCTTAATTTTTTTTTTCTTTGTAATCTAATTTTGTAAAAACATCACATGGATTCAAATTAGGTGCTGCTACATCTCTTGTACCAAAAGATGAATGACCTAGACTAAGCAGAACTTGGTACATACCTTTTACATTCTTGTTGTTTAGAAAGAATATAAAGATAAAACCAAAGCTTTTAAAAAACTAAAAGTTTGGTCTTCGTGCCAATATCCTTCATAGAAAAACAAAGACTCTTAGTTTAGAATGTGAGTGATCTAGTACTGAGCTCACCATTCCAGTGAGAATTATCCAAAACTCTGTGTGCTCATTACAGCAGTTTTTTTACAATTTCTTAGGAATTAAATGGTATTAGTCAAGCTTAATTTGGGATTTTTTCAGACCTATTAAGAGATATACTATCTCTTTGAAATGTGTAACTGCAAAAGAACACAATAACTGATGCATAAACAAATATACTGCCTTGTCTATTTCTCAATTAGAAGATGTTGAGTCTACTTTGACATAAAAAACAATATAGTAACTCTTTATATTCAGACCTGAACATTCAGAATTAAGGTTTCCCCTAGAAGCAACAAGTGGTGCAGTTAAGTTTGTTCAGCTCTTAGTCACTGAAAGGCACCAAGATGCAAAGCAGGAATAAAAACATATACACAGACACCTCACATTCAAACTAGTTTAGCTGCATAGGAAGTCTTTCAAAAGAACACAGTTGTCCCCCTTTGTAATTGCTACAAATAAGATTAAAAATACTCTACTGAAAGGTAAAAATATATCAGGTAAAAACAGATCTTTGCAATTTTATCAGCTTACGTACACATGTAAGGTCACCATTTAAGAGATTGTCCTTCAAGATCAAGGTGACATACTGAAACACTAAACCCAACTCTTGAGCCTTTGTTGGCTCTTGGGAAGTATTCCCCATGTTCTAACGAAGTGCCATCTGTGATACTGCTCACAGCCTGCACTGGTGAGAATTTTCTACCACCCAATCGCTAGCCCACACCTTATGCATCTCAAGATATGTGGTGCCACCCTGCAGCCCCCTGACTACTGAGGACCCAGGAGATCACCAGACTTCTGCATCTCCTCCCTCCCTTGTAAGGCTGTATCACTATGTCCACCACATTATTTTCATTTCAGTCTATTTCTTTTGATACTTTAATCTTCCATCTCCCTATCCCACCCACAGCAGAGCTCAAACACCTGCAACTGTTTTTCTTCCTTCTACCCTGTAAAGTCACACTGCAGTGACCTACTGGCAGTTCTACCACTGTCACAGAATTACAAAAACGAGGCATGTTTTTGTTAATTTGACCCTGCCACTCCTAGGAGAGACAACTGACAGTAACTGCAGCCACACAACCACATGCAGCACTGAATAAAACAAAACCTGCTTTTAATCCTTTCCACAAGACCCTGTTTACAAGTTAATTTAGTTCCCCTGTGGAAAATCTGTAAAACGACTATTTTAATTCCACACTTTAAGAAATCTGCAGTTGTCATCACAACACACAATTTTACTGTATGTGTGAGCATTCAGCTTGTCCAGCTGTCTCATTTCGCAGCATTACACTTAAAATATTTTCACCATAAGCCTGTTTTCTCTAGATACACTCACCTTTTGCACATAATACTAAGCTTAAAAACTCACCTTTTAACAATAGGAAAAAAAGGCAGCTAAAAATAGCAGAGGAAATTAAAAGGGGCACAACAAACACAATCACAGCCTTATTACATTCTGAATTAACTCACTGTGGCTACCTTAGTTAATCTAGAAGAAAAATTGTGAAAGGACTTTCCAGATAATCTGTAAAAAATATTGAACTCAAATATTTAGTTGCTTAAATTCACTTAATTTCTATCCTTACCTTTCATGCCTTTAACCAGAACCCATCAACATTACACTTTACAAAAGATGCCTTGAAATCTTACTGTAGGTTGTGAATATGCACAGCAAAAGCTCCTCTCAGAATCAAACGTGCTAGTTCTATTATGTATTTGTGGGCTGTTCTTTAATTAATGACAGAAGGGCCAGTGAAACGAGACAAGTTCTTTCTGGAAACTGGCCTTGCAGTCCCAGTAAATTCTATAAAAATCTGCTGTTAATAAAAGGGCCTCTACAAACTTTAAAGCAAAATTACAGACTAATCCCACAGTTACTGCACGAGCTACATGAATTACTGTTACACAGCAAATCATCTGTAAGAGCTAAACCATGGAATCTCTACATAGATTTTTCTTTTATTTTCTAGAATTTGGATTCACTCATTTTAAAATTACATTTTTAGCTGTCTGGTTTGAAAGACAGTTTACATTATGAAGGTCAGCCTGTCTAGCTGAATTCACAGCCAGAAAGGCAAACATTAGCTAAAGAAGGCAAGACCTTCATCACTTATTGTTACATCTTCTTGTGTTTGCAATGTTATTCCCTTTATTACTTTTATTTCAGATGGCTAAGTGCCTCACAGCAGGGACTTCAGTTCTTCATGTCTGTGAAGCACTACTTACACACAGTGCTGTGTAAATTATTTCTAACAAATACTAACACTACCAGATGTTTTACCAAGCCTTGCTTTTGAGATCAAAAGGTACACACACACAAATGGAAATCTAGACAGCTTATCTAAGCAAACACATTTATTACTTTTTTTTGTATGAAAAGTATTAATATATATACACATCATATACACGAGCTTTGTATGTATGTATATGTACACATACTGCAATTTCACATAAGTTTCAGTCATCTAACTTCTGTCCCAAAATTTATTTTCTGAAAAACCAAACACGGAACCAAAGGAACTATTCAGTAACACTACATATGTTGCTTCACCTGCTGTTTGATGTTATACTTGGAAATTTGAAAACAAATGCATGTCCTCCTACCAGTTTGGATCCACACCCAAAACTTTCTCTCAGCCTAACAGTAAACAGGATTTTTATTTTGAATATGATGATGTTAATAACACCCCATTAAAAATATAACAATTTACACCAGATCCAAGTGCTGTTCTCTTCATAAAGACAACTGGAATTCTGTCTATCCCTCCTCAAAAGATGATTTTTTTCTGCTGGTGTCCTGTCTTCTGGAGACATGCCCCCACGACTCTGTAAGTCTGTTCCATCTGTCTTCCACTCAGGAATCAATTTGCAAACGCAAAAAAATGTCCTACTTTGAATCATGAGACACCACCTTCGATGGCGTACAAATGCCCTGTCTCCACTTCCATTAGTACGGTATCGATCAGCAATCTCCAACACTGAAAATGCAGCAAGAGGCTGGCATTTTAATTAAAAAAAAAAGTGTAAAATAATCCCTAGTGAGGCAGACAGTGGTACAAACCCACGTTCCGTTTATACGGTACCTCTATACTGAGCCTGAACTCGGCAGTTACGGGGAGCAGCGCTGTAACTAACACCCGGCCTGCGCGCAGGGTGACCCGGGGCCGGCCCGCGCAAGTGCACGTTTCCCTCGTACCAGTGTATCAACCGGCCACCGCCGCGCTTCCCTCAGAGCCCACGTCCCGCCGGGTCGTTGCTGATCTCCCGCCGACGGCGCCGGGCAGAGCCCGCCCTGCCCACACGCCCCCCGAGCCCCCGCAACCCCGGGGCGCCGCTCGCAG